GCCTCCCAAACCCCCACCGGCGGCCAAGCGGTGACAGCCCAGCTCATCGTCATGAGCGTGCGAGCTGCTGGTAAGGGGAGAAGCAGCGGGAATCTCACTGAAAAAACCCAGCTGGAATGAACACAGAAAATGCTGGGTTCACTTGTATTACCCACTTCAACTATGATGCTAGCCAGCGCGCTGGCTTTGCCATCTCAACAATGGCAGCCAGCGTGCTGGCTTACCCACTGCAACTATGATGGTGGCCAGCGTGCTGGCTTTCCATCTGGACAATGGCAGCCAGCAAGCTGGCTTCCACTGCCTGTTATCAAAGGCACGTGTTACTTGTACTACCAAGTCGCCAGTTCTCATCTTCCAGCTCCCCAACTACTCCGCGCACTACAGTTATATACTACACCGTCGCCAGTTCGCAGCCACTACCCACTCGCCAGTTCTCCTCTTCCCATTCGCCAGCTACTCTGCGTACTAAAGTTGTACTACCAAGTCGCCAGTTCTCATCTTCCCAGCTCCCCAGCTACTCTGCGTACTAAAGTTGTACTACCAGGTCGCCAGTTCTCATCTTCCAGCTCCCCACCTACTCCGCATACTAAGGTTGTACTACAAAGTCGCCAGTTCTCAGCTACTACCCACTCACCAGTTCTCATCTTCCCACTCCCCAGCTACTCTGCGTACTAAAGTTGTAATACCAAGTCGCCACTTCTCATCTTCCAGCTCCCCTGCTACTCCGCGCACTACTAACGTTGTACTACAAAGTCGCCAGTTCTCAGCTACTACCCACTCACCAGTTCTCATCTTCCCACTCCCCAGCTACTCTGCATACTAAAGTTGTACTACCAAGTCGCCACTTCTCATCTTCCAGCTCCCCCCGCTACTCCGCGCACTACACTCACTGCAAAGTCGCCACATCGCAGCTACTGTCCACTCACCAGTTCTCATCTTCCCACTCCCCAGCTACTCTGCGTACTAAAGTTGCACTGCCAAGTCGCCAGTTCTCATCTTCCCACTCCCTGGCTGCTCTGCGTACTACATTTGTACTACCAAGTCGCCAGTTCTCATCTTCCAGCTCCCCAGCTACTCCTCGTACTAAAGTTGTACTACAAAGTCGCGAGTTCTCAGCTACTACCCACTCATCAGTTCTCCTCTCCCCACTCCCCAGCTACTCTACGTACTAAAGTTGTATTACCAAGTCGCCACTTCTCATCTTCCAGCTCCACAGCTGCTCCGCGTACTAAAGTTGTACTACGCAGTCGCCAGTTCTCAGCTTCCAGCTCCACAGATTGCTCCGCGTACTAAAGTTCTACTACAAAGTCACCAGTTCTGAGCTTCCAGCTCCCCAGCTACTCCGCGTACTACAGTTGTCTACAAAGTCGCCAGTGCTCATCTCCCAGCTCCCCAGCTACAAACTCGCCAGTTCTCAGCTACTACCCACTCACCAGTTCTCATCTTCCCACTCCCCAGCACATCGCACTCTCGCCTGCATTTCGCGCACTCGACACGCACGATCTCCG